GGCTAACATGTAGGCTAACCCTACCCCCCTAGTCTGATACTGTAATTAGTCTCTCTAATCCACTGCTCTACACACTGGATCTGGGCATTTATCAGCCTGAGCCTCCTGCAGTCTCCTACCTCTCCAGACCAGACCTCCCATTTCTGAACTTGATGAGTCAAAGGTCAGGAAAACAACAAGTCAATACACAGCCAGGAGGAATGCAGTGCAGCTGAGAGAGCTGTGGAGAGGACTAAGCCTCTGTGGCGTGCTGTGATTTAGCCTGTAATAGTTTTCTGTAATCTCTTTCTATTGATTAAACCTCACATCAAAGAGGAGTGCTGTTGCAGAACCTTTCCTTTTCCTGGTCAGAAATACCATATGGAGGTAATCTTTCACCTTTGTTATTCTTGCTGCTTCCGCTGCTGCTGCAAGCCTCTCTTCCAGGGCGAGAGAGAGGAGAGGAGAGGAGGAGAGGAGAGGAGAAGGAGAATGGCCGGAGAGTAGCTGGAGAGGGAGAGAGGGAGGGAGAGGAGAGGAAACAAGCCCAGCACAGAGAAACTACTGCAAAACCCATCTGATTAGCACTGAGATCTCACGCCCAATGCACTGAAGGTCTTCCTCAAGCTAAAAATGTTTTAATGACAGCAAACTTTTTAGAGTTTACTTTTCTTTATCTACCCCTGACATGCTGGCCACAATTCAGAAGCGGTGTGGAGAAAAGGAATGTGTCGAAGAACAAGCAAGTGTGATTGTTTGCAGATTGCTGGTATCAAACATGATGAGAGTGAGAGAGAAAATAAACAATGGACAATAAAAGGGTACAGAATTGTAGCCGTTTTAGCAATATCTCACATTCAGCTCATTGAAATGCAAAACTAAGAGAAAGTGAAAAAACAAACCCCTCCTGCTAAAAACACTCAATTTACTGACAGGCAAATGACTTCACGCTGCCACTTAATCTCATTTCTTGCATAATGCCCTCTAATTAGCATATCAAAGTGAATTAATATTTCTAGGGCATTAGCAATGAGGAAATCTGCTCTGGGTCTACAATAAGAGTAAGAGTGCCAAAAATACTCTGAACACTACAAATAGCCTTGCATTGCAAAACCCATATGTCTGTTTACCAGTGCATCCCTCTTTCTTTCCCAACCACACAACACGGGCTATTGACCCAACTGGAAAAATCTATTTAACTTAACCCCCCCCCCCCCCCACCGCCATGCACCAAGCTCCCTGGTGAGTTTCTGAGATTCTAGGTGGGAGGCACACACACCAGGAAAGGTTTCTCCACAGGTTAAAATGGCCTTCTTATTTCTAACATACATATCAATGTAAAAAACGAAATTGTCTGCACAGTATTGAAGCATATACTATAAACATAAAGTAATTACAGCCGTGTTTGTTTGCTGCACTGCTGTCAAATTCATGGTTGGATATGATTTTCACCGGATGGGATCATTGGGTGGCTAAATGACATTGGGATTATGTGCCAGTGAACGGACAAGAAAGGGGCAAAGAATCCCTCTGTATGATGCCACGAGGGCATGTGAATGACCCACAGTGGGAGAGAAAAACAGTTAGGTTAAGAAGGCCACCAGACCAGCTGAGCTCTGTCAATGGCTAAGAGGGGGAAGGCTGTGACTCCAAACCACAGATTAACCACACGCACATTCACACACACACACACACACTCACACAGACACACTCTCTCACACACACAGACAGACACACACATCAACCATTACCTCTTCAAACAGATGTAAATACAAGTATGTTTGCTGTCATTGTTTACATGGCTACAATACAAACACTTCAGGTTTGATTTAGCCTGTTTCTATTTACACCTGGTACAGTGTGATCCAATAATAAAAATAAGCATTTTATATTTTCAAAGATTTCTCTCACCTTACATGTACATTGCACTAATTGCATTTAATTGTATTATGAAACTACTGATAGTTTTATTATGTAACTACTGATACAGTATAATCAAATGAAGGCACTGGATTATCTGATTACAATGAGATCAATAATGTCCCTATGTCAAACACACACACACACACGCACGTCTCAATTCAAAACTAAAACTGGATTCAAATTCTCAATAGTAAAAACAAAGACTACTCTCATACTCACACGGTACACAAAACACATACTGATAAGAAGGGAATGGGATAGAGAAAATGTGCAACCAGAAGCATTGCTACACACAGGCATTTCCAAACTGAGTGCTCAAACAAAGTAGCACAGAAGTACAGTATATTGCTCATTTAAATAATTAGCATACTTAGAGACTCTATTTCTCATGCATATTTAATTAGATATTTAATGTAATATAAAATATAAAAATGTAAAAAGTAATCCAATATGTGCCCATGGAGATGTAAGTTCTACAATTGGGGTTTAGATCTGAAAGCATATAGGGATACATACATATTGTGTGTGTTGATATTAATGCATGGATTAATCTATGATGCACACACATACAGTATAAAAACATACAGTATACTCACAGTCGCTCACACACTGTTACATAGAGCTAAACCATCCAGAGATCATGTTCCCCTTTTTTCTTACACAATCGTTCTCTCACTTTCGCTCTTTCTACTCGACAGGCATAAATAATACCTCAAGTAGGCTAGGCAGCCAAGAGGGCCCTTCTCCTGCCCCTCCGGACACATCCTGTGGCCGAGAAGTTCATTAAGTTTTATGATCTCACCCAAGTCACTTCTGCTTATAAGCCACACAAAGGCCACAAATCTGACAACTAGTCACTATTTTAAAACAGTAGCACATTAATGTAATTTAAGGGGTTTCTGTATGATAGACCACTTTCAACTGGGTTTAAGAATTTACCGGTATTTGACAGCTGTCATCCCTCTCTCCCTCACAATCCTTTAAAGGACACCAATATACAAAATGTAGACATGACCAACATGTAGGGGAAAATGTCAAATGCTTGCACCACTGTTGTAATGCCAATGTATTGTCTTTTGTAGTCATAAACGACTGCAACTTCACATAGTATGATTTACCATTGGTATCGAAGATCACTATTCACTAGCAAGAGTAAGGTGGACAGCTTATAATGCTCCTGCAACAGCTCGATATAGAATAAAACATTTTCACAACTTGAAATCATACAAATGTTAAATGTATCAAATAAAGTTTTAGGAAAATAGTTCCATTTGTGGACAAAAATAAAGAGCCTCTGCCTATTACACCTATATTAGGCATAAGGTAGCGCCCAGAAAATCAGCCACACACCCTTTAACAATGAATTAACTGCAATATTTTGAATGTTTCATATACACTTAAAATACTGAAAATCTTCATTTGTGTATTGCATTGCAGTACAAACACATCTTTGTAATAGGTTTATATGTGAGAAGTTGACTAGCACTAACCTCCTTTTGGCTCATCAACATTGTCAGAAGTATCCTATCCACGAAAAAAATACCTTCTCCAATAGTGTGGGCGTAAAATCTTAGTATTTGGTGTCATATCCAAACGTTATATTATTTGTGTTAGGTCCATAAGATATGCATCTGGCCTTGCAATGACTGTTCTAGGCTACCTACCCTAACAAAAACGTATTCAAGATGCACACCATCACATCACTGGCTGTAACATGTGGTTCGTGTCTTCTTATGAAAACTCTCCTTTCATCAAAACCCTCAGGCCCACTACAAAGACTTTGGGCAAATAACAGAAATGAAAATGTGCATTATGATAAAGTAGTGTTCTATCAGTGTATGGGTTTGATTTGCTGTGATGTCAGGATTGCATGGCATCGCGACGCACAAGAACGATGCATAAGACAGGTTGCACTATTAGTATGCTAACCTTAGTACTTTATGGATTTATCCTGGTTAGAATTTGAAAAAGGTTATCCTAAAGTAGCATGGTTCCACAATTGTTCACTCATGCGCTCCGCGCAGACTGGCACGCACAAACTCACTCACACAGCCTACACACACACACACACACACACACACACACACACACACACACACACACACACACACACACACACACACACTAGTGTTGTTTGGGGGAAGCTTAATTAACTTTTTGAGTTTTACTCATTATCTTGCAGAAGGCTACTAAGGATAGCCAAACACATTTCCTGTTCTAAAAAATATACCAATCTTAAATCATGTCCTATTTTCTAACAATATGTTAACCCTCATACAGTTACTCCTTTGTAGGCTACCCATTTGTATTAGGAAATTCATATTAATGTGCGCAAGAGCCTGGTTCTAAAAACTGTGTCCTCACATGCTGGGCAGATATTTTAATATGTTGTATTCTATTAGGCTACACAATGCTCTTATATATACTTTCCACAGTTTCATTGCACTTAGCTTGTCACCTTCGAAACGGCTGGCTTTATTGATCGACTTAATGCGTTATATGTGCGCTACAGAAGGCAACAATGGTTAGACTCGTGCCAATAATGCCAATAGTGATTCATCCAGTGGACAGCAAACCTCATTAAGCACGAGATTACAATGTAATTGACTAAATGTAGGATTAATTTCAATAGTGAAAACAGGGATAATTACCATCACTGTTGGCTATACTTTCCATTTTAATAAAATACGAGATGCATGGTGCAGAAACCGCTCACATAATGCGCATGGTGTGGTGTAGCCGAATAAAACCAAAGCCATTGAATTTCCATTATTTATGATAAGATACGGAGGAATGTTACGCACCTGCTTGTCCATTCCATCCCTATGTAACCATCGGATAACAACCCTCTATCAATTTCTACATGAGAGCACGGATACCTTTTTTGCGGGGCGCGGATGCTTCTCAAAGGCTGTAACCATAACCTTTATTTTCCCATTTAAAATGTCATAACGGACGGAGCTCATTCTGTCTCCCGCTTGATAACTTCGGATAAGGCTGCCTATGGGGAGAGTAAAGATGGCGGTGTGCAAATGCGTTGGGGCTCCGCAATGTTGCCTATTGATACCGTCCTCGTGTTGTTTAATCCTCCACATTAATTAGTGTGAAGTCTTACCTGTTTTCTCTTTGATCTCGCAGAGGACGCTGAAGAGTGCAGGTTTCATTCTGTGGCAGTTCAGTCCATGTTTCCTGTTTCAGTTTGAGACAAGAACCAACATTGAAATATAGTCACTATAACACCTCAGTTGTTAAAACTTTGAAGATAATAATGTGTCTTTGCTCTTTATAATAACTTCGAGGTCTTGCTCATTTTGCACATGGAGGATCTGTATCCCTGTTGACATGCATCTCAAAGTTGTAGCATAAACAGTGATTTGTCAACACGAATGACAATGGATGCATTGTTTGTTGAAATACTAACTATTTTGTATGACCTCAAAGTTAGTCTAAAAAAAGTGTATTTGTTGAAAATTCACAATTGAAACTAAGAGTGTAGGCCTGCATTCAAAATTGTTGCTATTAGAAAATAACTTGCCATGGAATTACATTTGTACATTAGCCAGCGTTATTTTTAAATATCAGGAGTTACTGTGAAACATTATTCTACAAATACGCATCAATGTTTACAGGAGCCCCGGCCTAACAATAGGCAACATTATATGGAAATGAAATATATAGCCTGCACTTTCCACATAAAAGTTTGTGTAGCCTCCACACTGCCAGAAGCAAGTTTCAAAACTATTAGAATTACTGGATGGCAGGTGCTAACTTTTTAATCTACATTGGCCCCTGCAAATAATTTTGACCATGAGATGCACATATGTAGCAGCATTTTATAGCCTGCCTTTTATTACATGGATATGAACGTTAATTACCTATAGTGAGTAATGGTGCGTAAAGTGTTTTGTAAAGAAAACATATAAATGAACCAACTTTGCTTGCGCCTCGTCCAGACTTTGGTCAGTAATGGTCATTATTTGATGCAGGATGTCACCGATATCTTGTTTTCTCCCATCATCTATCCCATCGTGTCCATGTGGAGGCGGCAGTGCCATGCCTCCTTGTATCGAGTGGCCAGCCAAGCTGACACCGCCGAGAGCCTGCATGATCCGGGCTTGTTCGTCCATAGTCAGCCGAAACAGAATCACAAATGGAAACTTGGCTTGAAAAACTCACATACAAAAAAACAATTACAACATGCGTTGCGTTAGAGAGCTGTATATTGATGATATAGCGCTTACGCGTAGCCTATAAGAAAAATAAATAGGCTAGGTGAGTACAAGTAATGGTATCAATATCGCGTGTCCAAGTAACGTTAATCACTTTCTTGCAATCTTCCTTCTTTATGCACGGTCCGAAGTGTGTGTATGAATGTTTTTTTCCGAAAATGCATAAGCTATAATTGTTCAAAACTTATTTGTCAAAATGACAGCCGCTGTCCCTCGTATCCTGCACGAGTCCTCTTGTCAATTCGTCTTTCTCTTTTGAGTTGACGTGTTGTGTATGATTGCTCCTTGCTGATCTGTCATTTATTAGCCGTCTTCTTTTGATTATGTTTCCTCGTGCAATTCCTCTTGAAAATGTTCAAATCCCCATTATTGTCAGCAGGAAACAAAATATCCAGTGAAAATAAACAATAAGCAAGTGAATGAAAAATAATAATTAAGAACAAAATACAACACTTAGGTAGTAAATTAGTAAGCCTACCTGCTACCTGTAAATGTATTGCAAATATTAAAAATATATATGTTTGCATTAGTGTAAAAATTATAGAAAAAAGAACAGCGAGAAATTAATTAGGCTACACGCTGTAAAGCGATGCGCAAAAATATCTGCCTGCTGAAATTTATGAGCGGGAGCCTCTGCCTCTGTGTGCTTTATGTTGTTTGATGGCAGCGGTAGTGAGCGATTGACAGTGTGCCAATGCCACTCACTCAGTGCAAACGTGTCAGAGCAAGAGCTGGAGAAAAAAAGGACAAAATCGAAATACAAATGCACGCTCCGCCCATCAGAGGAGGGGTCTATATTCTTGTCACTTCTCTGGAACCCCCGAAAACAAAATGCTAGAGCATTGCTTGAGATGGTGATTATAATTACGAAATAATGGTGGAGTTCCACACGTCGTATGCCTCACGAGTGCACGTGCACCAAAATGCTGTCATTCCACACAGAATAAAACATTAAAGTGTTAAAAAAAAAAAAAAAAAGGCACAGGCCTATTCAGATTTTTATATAGTTTGATACAGAACTGATAATGAACTGCATAGACTCTTTGCTTTTCAGGGCTATGGTATGGTCATCTCTACCAAGCCGTGGCTCATAGGGTAGGCAAGCAGTGGACATGTTTATAATATTGGATGTAAACCTATTCGACCTATCAACGCTGTGTTTGAATTCGACTGACGACCAGGGTGTCCTATTGCTGGCAGATGCATGGTCCTGAAATCCCACCCACCACATTCTCTATCTTGACTGCTTGTACAAAAGGATATAAACTTCTGATTGGTCGTTGCTATGGGTGACATGCATTGCACAGGCAGGCTGCGCTGCTCAGCACTCCCCTGCAGTTGCTATGGCAGCAGACAAGTTGTTGAGCTGGATGCAGGGCTACAACATTTAAGCATCATCTACCTACACACCATTAATATAAAACGGTTTTATTGAAATGTCCCCATCACGCAAACCCCAGAATAACAAGTGTGTGATGAGTAGGCCAATATAACATACAGTCCTTGACTTTTTCCACATTTTGTTACATTACAGCCTTATTCCTGAATGGATTCAATATTTTTTCCCCCCTCATCAATCTACAGACAATACCCCATAATGACAAAGCAAAAATAGGTTTTAGAAATTTTTGCAAATGTATTAAAAATAAAAAACAGAAATACCTTATTTACATAAGTATTCAAACCCTTTGCTATGAGACTCGAAATTGAGCTCAGGTGCATCCTGTTTCCATTGATCATCCTTGAGATGTTTCTACAACTTGATTGGAGTCCACTTGTGGTAAATCCAATTGATTGGACATGATTTGGAAAGGCACACACCTGTCTATATACAGTTGAAGTCGGAAGTTTACATACACTTAGGTTGGAGTCATTAAAACTTGTTTTTCAACCACTCCACAAATTTCTTGTTGACAAACTATAGTTTTGGCAAGTCGGTTAGGACATCTACTTTGTGCATGACACAGGTAATTTTTCCAACAATTGTTTACAGACAGATTATTTCACTTACAAATCACTATATCACAATTCAAGTGGGTCAGAAGTTTACATACACTAAGTTGACTGTGCCTTTAAACAGCTTGGAAAATTCCAGAAAATTATGTCATGGCTTTAGAAGCTTCTGATAGGCTAATTTACATAATTTGAGTCAATTGGAGGTGTACTTGTGGATTTATTTCAAGGCCTACCTTCAAACTCAGTGTCTCTTTCCTTGACATCATGGAAAAATCAAAAGAAATTAGCCAAGACCTCAGAATTGTTTTTGTAGACCTCTGGTTCATCCTTGGGAGCAATTTCCAAACGCCTGAAGGTATCACGTTCATCTGTACAAACAATAGTACGCAAGTATAAACACCATGGGACCACGCAGCCGTCATATCGCTCAAGAAGGAAACGCATTCTGTCTCCTAGAGATGAACGAACTTTGGTGCGAAAAGTGCAAATCAATCCCAGAACAACAGCAAAGGACCTTGTGAAGATGCTGGAGGAAACAGGTACAAAAGTATCTATATCCACAGTAAAACGAGTCCTATATCGACATAACCTGAAAGGCCGCTCGTCAAGGAAGAAGCCACTGCTCCAAAACCACCATAAAAAAGCCAGACTATGGTTTGCAATTGCACATGGGGACAAAGATCGTACTTTCTGGAGAAATGTCCTCTGGTCTGATGAAACAAAAATATAACTATTTGGCCATAATGACCATTGTTATGTTTGGAGGAAAAAGGGGGTTGCTTGCAAGCCGAAGAAAACTATCCCAACCGTGAAGCACGGGGGTGGCAGCATCATGCTGTGGGGATGCTTTGCTGCAGGAGGGACTGGTGCACTTCACAAAATACATGGCATCATGAGGAAGGAAAATTATGTGGCTATATTGAGGCAACATCTCAAGACATCAGTCAGGAAGTTAAAGCTTGGTCGCAAATGGGTCTTCCAAATGGACAATGACCCAAGCATACTTCCAAAGTTGTGGCAAAATGGCTTAAGTACAACAAAGTCAAGGTATTGGAGTGGCCATCACAAAGCCCTGACCTCAATCCTATAGAAAATGTGTGGGCAGAACTAAAAAAGCATGCACGAGCAAAGAGGCCTACAAATCTGACTCAGTTACACCAGCTCTGTCAGGAGGAATGGACCAAAATTCACCCAACTTATTGTGGGAAGCTTGTGGAAGGCTACCCGAAACGTTTGACCCAAGTTAAACAATTTAAAGGCAATGCTACCTAATATTAATTGAGTGTATGTAAACTTCTAACCCACTGGGAATGTGATGAAAGAAATAAAAGCTGAAATAAATCATTCTCTCTACTATTATTCTGACATTTCACTTTCTTAAAATAAAGTGGTGATCCTAACTGACCTAAACAGGGAATTTGTACTAGGATTAAATGTCAGGAATTGTGAAAAACTGAGTTTAAATGTATGTGGCTAAGGTGTATGTAAACTTCCGACTTCAACTGTAAGTACCCACAGTTGACAGTGCAGGTCAGAGCAAAAACCAAGCCATGAGGTCGAAGGAATTGTCCGTAGGGCTCAGAGACAGAATTGTATTGAGGCACAGATCTGGGGTAAGGTACCAAAAATGCTGCAGCATGGAAGGTCCCCAAGAACACAGTGGCCTCTATCATTCTTAAATGGAAGAAGTTTGGAACCACCAAGACTCTTCCTAGAGCTGACCACCCAGCCAAACTGAGAAATCGGGGGAAAAGGGCCTTGGTCAAGGAGGTGACCGACAACCCAATGGTCACTCTGACAGAGCTCCAGAGTTCCTCTGTGGAGATGGGAGAACCTTCCAGAAGGACAATCATCTCTACAGCACTCCACCAATCAGGCTTTTATGGTGGAGTGGCCAGACGGAAGCCATTCTTCAGTAAAAGGCACATGACAGCCTGCTTTGAGTTTGCCAAAAGGCACCTGAAGGACTCTCAGACCATGAGAAACAAGATTCTTTGGTCTGATGAAACCAACATTGAACTCTTTGGCCTGAATGCCAAGCGTCACGTCTGGAGGAAACCTGGCACCATCCCTACAGTGAAGCATGGTGGTGGCAGAATCATGCTGTGGGGATGTTTTTCAGCGGCAGGGACTAGGAGACTAGTCAGGATCGAAGGAAAGATGAACATAGCAAAGTACAGGGTGATCCTTGATGAAAACCTGCTCCAGAGCGTTCAGGACCTCCGACTGGGCGAAGGTTCACCTTCCAACAGGACAACAACCCTAAGCACACAGCCAAGACAATGCAGGAGTGGCTTTGGGACGAGTCTCTGAATGTCGTTGAGTGGCCCAGCCAGAGCCCAGACTTGAACCTGATCGAACATCTCTGGAGAGACCTGAAATTAGCTGTGCAGCGACGCTCCCCATCCAACCTGACAGAGCTTGAGACGATCTGCAGAGAAGAATGGGAGAAATTCCCCAAATACAGGTGTGCCAAGCTTGTAGTGTCATACCCAAGAAGACTCGAGGATGTAATCGCTGCCAAAGGTGCTTCAACAAAGTACTGAGTAAAGGGTCTGAATACTTATGTAAACTGGATATTTCAGTTTTTTATTTTAATACATTTGCAAACATTTCTAAAAACCTGTTTTTGTTTTGTCATTATGGGGTATTGTGTGTAGATTGATGAGGGGGAAAAAACAATTTCATCCATTTTAGAATAAGGCTGTAATGTAACAAAATGTGGAAAAGGTCAAGCGGTCTGAATATTTTCCAAATGCACTGTATGCCATTAGCAGACACTTTTATCCGAAGCGACTTACAGTCATACATGCTTACATTTTACGTATGGGTGGTCCTGGGAATCGAACCCACTACCCTGGTGTTACTTGTGCGATTCTGAGCTACAAAGGATCACACCCTATCTTGGTGTAAACTAGACGGAGAGCTTAACATGTTGGTGA